ACCAGTGCTGGGGGGACCCGTGTGGGAGGGCGAGTTATTTTCAAATGCGTGGTTATCGGCTGCCCTTCCTTGAACATCGAACATACATAGTGGCATTCATCAAGCCTACACGAGAGGAGGGCGGTTCTTCTTCGAAGCAAGGATCTCGCCAGAATGGCGTGCCCATTGGGCACTTCAGAAGTGCTGGTTTTTCTTTACAACTCGACGGAATGGAAAGCGGTTCCGCTTCAAAACGGGGATCACCGCAGAATGGTACGCGCACGGGGAGTTTGTCTTTCAAGGGGACGCTTTCTGCTTTGAGACGGGACGATTGTGGGGACCTGCGCGGACGGCACTTGGAGCAGGAAGGTGCGTTGCAGCATCGTTGATGCATCAGGCGGTTACGCTGGTCCTTCGTGGTTGGGCCTCCACCAACGTGACTGAATCACGAGAAAGTCTCGAGCGAGAGCGCCGTTCCTGAGTTCGGGGGCCTTCCTGGCCAGGGGCTCTCGGAGTGAATCGTGAAAAAAAATCTAGCAGGAGCCCGTGTCGTCGTGTCCGGGCCTCCGCCAACTTGGCCGATTTGCGAGGAAGTCTCGAGCGAGAGCGCCATTCCCAAATTCGGGGGCCTCTCTGGCCAGAGTGTCTCGGGGTAAAGTGTGAGGAAGTATCGAGCGGGAGCCGTTGCCGTCGTAGCCGGGCCTCCGAGGGCACACTTTCACTCTGAAGCCAACGCTCGCGCGGGAGCCTCCTTTTCAGAGAACATGTAGCCGGCGTCGAGGCGAGAGCGCGCGGAACCGTTCCCAGAGATGATCAATAAAAATTATATAGAAAGGAGTTTTCAACACAACAACAACAACAACAACAACAACAACAACAACAACAACAACAACAACAACAACAACAACAACAGCAATCAGCTTAAGACCGTTCGCTCCTATCTGCTCACGTGCCAATCAATACGTATATCCCAAACCCTCGGTACCCGCCCGCGTCGTCTTCGATCGTACCCCCCTTGGGTGATATCTTCCTTACCTGCCACGTGTATTTAGTGCAGCCCCTAAAACAAGGGAAGAGAGGACGGGTGGAAGGGGAGGGAGAAAAATGGAGCACGAGAGAAATTAGCAGGACGGGGGCAACGAGCAGGAAACAAATGGTAGAACCAGACGGGCAGATCGGGTGGGCAGACCCATAGCGGGCAGGTCGGGAAGGCGGGCCCAGGCGACGAGGTCGAGCAGGCGAGTTGCTGAAGCGTGGGTCCTGCATGAATCGCGAGGAAGTCTCAAGCGATAGCGCGATTCCCAAGTACATCGTGAGAGAAGCCAGCGTGGGCCACGAAGAGCATAAAATCCGAGGCCACAGACGGCAGCGACGGGGCCGCTGAGGGCAGCACCGGGGCCACGAAGGGCAGCAAGGGGGCCACAAGGGGCTACTGCGGGGCCACGAAGGGCATGCATATGGGGCCACGACGGGCGCGAGCGAGCGGGGGCCACGAAGGGCATTCGTATGGGAACCATTTTGGGGCTTTTTGGCCCGACTGAGGCCCATTTCGGCCGTCTCGGGTCCCTGTTGGCCCGTCGGGCCTGTCTTAGGGCCCTCTTGGGGCCCCCTCCGACCATGTAGGGGTCCTCTAGTGGCCCCTTCGGGCCCCCTGGTGACTCTCTTGGGGCCGCCTTGGGGGCTCTCTTGTGCTGCTTGAAGCTCTCTTCAGGCCGACTTGGGACTCTCTTGGGGGCCTATTGGGCCGTCTGGGGCCGATTTGGGGAGCCTTTGGGTCTGTCGCGGCCGGTGTTGGGACTAACAGTTATACCCGATACAGACATTTTCCCATCGGGAATGCTTGATGTTTGGCCCCCTGGGGGGCCTTCTCGGCGGCCTCTTGGACCGTTTTGAAAGCTTTGTGGCCGTCTAGGAGCAGTCTTGGGCTTGGCCTCGATCGTCGATGCCCCTCCTGCCTGGATCCCCGTCTCATCCACACTCATTTTACCGATGGCCCCCAACGTGGCCCCAAGAGAGGCTCGAAGGCTCCGAAGCAAGGGCCTCAAAGGCCCCCAAGGGGTCCCCAGGACGCGCCCATGACGCCAAATCCTTCAAACACGCGGCACCAAGCGGAGCCCATATGGCCCAAGATGGCCTCTAACGTCGCACAAAGGAGCCAAAGATGGATGAATAGTTGGTTCAACATGCCTCGGAGAGGGGTCATCCAGGCGCCTCCTGGAGGCGTCCTGGGCCGGCTGCAGCCTGGAGGCTGTCTTGGCCGATCGTGGGACGCCCTGGGGCCGTCTCGGAGCTCCAAGGGCCGGCAAAGCAGGGCAGGTGCCCGGCTGGCTGGCTCTGGCCGCCCAGGCGCTCCCGTAGCTCTTCGAGATCTCGATGCGGAGGGACTCGTAGTCCGCCACGAAGGTGGCCAGCGTCGCCTCGCTTCACGAGCCCCTCCCAAACATCATCTCGGGTCATCTTCGGAGGACGCTTGAAACTATGCTTTTCGCCACCTGCAGCCTCTGAGGGCCGTCTGGGCCCCGGGGCCATGAAAAGTCACCCCAGAATGGGGGGAAAAAAAAGGCAGTGGATTTCGGAGACTGGAAACTGGATAAGGCTCCCACCTCTTCTCCTTCTCCTACACAATCCTCCCCTTCCTCTTCCTGCCACGAGAGAGAGAGAGACATACATACATACATACATACATACATACATACATACCTACCTACCTACCTACCTACCTACCTACCTACCTACCTACATACATACATACATACATACATACATACATACATACATACATACATGCATGCAATACATACATTCAATACATACATACATACATACATACATACATACATACATACATACAGACAGACAGACAGACAGACAGACAGACAGACAGACAGACAGACAGAGGTACGTACGTGCGTAGATACATACATACATACATACATACATACAAACATACAAACATCCAACCATCCAAACATCCAAACATCCATGCATGCATGCATGCATACATACATACATACATACACACATGCCTGCATGCATACATGCATACATATCTACCTATCCACCTGCCTACCTACCTACCTACCGACGTACCTACCTACATGCATACATACATACAGAATTAGATACACACATGTGTGCATGCATGCATGTTCGCATATGTACACACATCATATACCCGTGTATACGTATGTACGTACATGCCTACATACACATATACATACGTACCTACGTACATACAAACATACACATGCATAAAGGCATACATCTTCATGTGTATATATATATACATACATACATGCATATATACAGACCTGCATACGCATGCATGTATGTATGCATGCATACATGCATGCATACACATATGCACTCATGCACACATGCATACATGCATGCATGCATGCATACATGCATACATGCACACATGCATGAATGAACAAATGTCGTTATGCATGCACAAAGGCATACATACATACATACACACAGGTATATACATACATGCATGCATACATGCATACATACATACGTACATACAACCATACACACAAACAGGCAAACATACAACATACAAACATGCAGACACACAATCATACATATGTAAATACAGGCATACCTACATACATACGTACATACATACAACCATACATACATACAAACATACATGCATACATACATACATGCATGCACGCATGCATACATACATACACACACACACATATATACAGACGTAATAAACAAGCAAAGAGTGGCTTACATATTCATAGACCTAAAGAGAACGAGAGAAGACAGGCAGACAGACAGACAGACAGACAAGCCAGACAGACGGACAGACAGACGGACGGTCAAACAGACAGATGGACATAACACTTTGGTCCCAAGGGGCTCGAACATATGCATGTCCACCGCCTGCCGAGGTCCCCGAACCCAGACCCCCGATGTCAGGATGTTTCCATAACGTGGATCCCCAGAAGTCTGGACCCCTTCTCGGGCACAGGTGTTTCACCCTGAGCCGATTTTGTACGGACCCGGAAGGGCCCCTGGAGGCCGAAAATGGCCGAAAACCTCCCGTCGTAGCACTGTCACGACTCGAAGATCGGTCCCCCAGGCGGTGGTTACACATAAATCCCCACCTCTGAAAATCCACCAGCCCTTTGGGCAAGGTGGTCTAACGAATTCCCTCTTTTCCTCTCCCAAAAACACCTACATGTGCCTCTTCATCCCTTGTCCTCTCAACTCTCGCCAGCACGGTATGTAAATGGCTGGTTTGGCGGCGCGCACAGGGGGTAGGGGGAGGGGGAAAGGCTTCTTATAAGCACGCTGCTTCTCAGAAGGCGCCAGCCCTACACTCATAGATAAGGCCCGCGCCTTCCAAGAAGCCGCCTCCTTCTAAGAAGCAAGCCTTCCCCCCTCCCCCTACGGTCGGACCTAAGATCGAAGAACATCCTTCAAGAACATGCGAGGCCCCGCCGGCCAAACTGGAGAGCACTCAAGGGTGCCCTCCCCGAGGATGCGAAAGAGCATCCCACAAGCGCGAAGAACATCGAGGCACCCTCCCCGAACCGACCTCGATCTTTGTACCTTCGGTCCGGCAGCACCCCCCTCTGCGCGCGGCCGCCTGATGGGGATGCGCGAGTGAAGGGGCCCTGGGACACACAAAGAAAGACACACAAACAAAAATACTCCCCGTATTTTCTCATATTTTTGGGGGGTTTGTCCTCTCCCCCACGTCCCATATTTTCCCATATGTTGGGGGAATCGACGATTAGTTGTGTCTGTGTGTTTCTTTCCCTCCTGAGCGAGGCGTGGAGCAGGTTGGCTTTCTCCGTGGGAGGCGCAGGGCGAGGGCGGGCGTCGCCAGGCTCTTGCGCCCGCTGCCGCCCACCCCCACGAGCAGCGCGTTGCCCAGGGGCGTCTTCAGCACCCGCACGATCCGGCACACGTGCTCGACGGCCTCGGCCCCGCGTCACCCTCCTGCTCGTCCTCATCATCATCCACGTCCTGCTCGTCCTCCGCTCCCTCGTCGTCAGCAGCATCGCCGTGGCCATCGACATGGTCATCCTCGTCCTCATCATCGCCCTTATCCTCATCCCCACAATCATCATCAGGAGCATCATCAGCATCTTCATAATCACCTTCATCATCATCATCATCATCATCATCATCATCATCATCATCATCATCATCATCATCATCATCATCATCATCATCATCATCATCATCATCATCATCATCATCACCATATTTGTCACCATCACCAGGCCATCATCACCACCAACACCACCACGAGCAACTCCTGCTCCTCTTCATCCTCCTCCTGTGCACTCACCTCGCACTCTCATGAATATCATACGAAGGGTCGTTCTCGTGCTCATACACCTGCGCATGCGCATGCTCATCCGCGTACTGGTCGTCGTCGTAATCGCATTCATCATCATCGCCACGATCACATTCCGAACTGACAAAACACAAGGTAAAGTCCCTACCACACCGCCCCGGGCCTCCATCCCCCTGGGCACGGGCCCTGCCTGACCACCCCGTGTACTAATTCTCTGCCCCCCAAAGAAGACGAACTTCTCGCCGTTCCAATTTAAAAACAATAAGCGACCTGCACTAATCTATCCTGTCCATTTTTCTCCTTACATCGGAAAAGGCACTGGCCAGGCTCCCGAACCCACCTCCGCACTCGCAACCCTTACGAAATGCTGAAAATCTTTCGGAATAGTTAGGAATCGTTCGGAATCCTTCGGACCCCCTAGGATTCCTCCGGAATCCTCCGGTATCCTTCGGAATCCTTAGGAACCCTTAAGAATCATTCGGGATCCTTCGAGGTCCTTCAGACCCTTTATGAATCTGGACAAATCCGTAGGAATCCTTAGGAATCCTTAAGAATCCCCAAGAATCCTTAGGGATCCCTAGGAACCTGTGGAAGTCCTGAAGAATCCTGCGTGGTTTTTAGGAACCCCTTGGGAACCTTGAAGATTCCCAAACTCTCGTGATGAACCCTCAAGATCCTTACGAATCCATAGGAATCCTCAGGAATCGTTAAGAATTCGGAGGAACCCCTTAGAATTATTCGGAATCCTTCGGACACCTTAGGAATCCCTACGAATCCTTCGGGATCCCGGAGGGATGGATCCATCGGGAATCCTCTGGAGCATGTTTTTAGGAGTCTTCAGGAAGACATAGCTACCCTTCAAAGTCTCACATAATCCTTAGGACTTCTGAAGATTCCTTGAGAATCCTTAGGAATGCTTAGGGCTGCTTCGGACTAATCAGGAATCCATGGGAATCCGTAGGAAGCCACAGGAATCCGTCGGGATCCTTTGGGATCCTTCGGATTTCTGCTGAATCCTAAGAAATCCAACGAAATCCTTAGGAATCCCGAGGAATGATTAGGAATTCACATGAATCCTAAGGAATCTCCGCGAGTCAAGAAAAATCTTGAAGAATCTGGAGGAATCCTGAGGAATCCTCAGGAATCCTTCGGAAACCTTCGGAACCCTTAGGAATCCTTCGGAATCCGAAGGAATGCTGAAGAATCCGGAGGAATCCTTCGGAACCCTTAGGCATCCAGATGACTCCTGGGGAATACTGAATTCGGGATCCGTAGGAACCTTTAGGGATTCGTAGGTATGCTCAGGGACCCTTTAGGAAAGGAACACATAGGAATCCTTAGGAACAGTTAGAATGCCTACAGAATCCTTCGGCTTCCATGGGAATCCTTCGGAATCTTCAGGAAGCCTTAGGAACCCTCAAGACTCCATCGGAATCCTTCAAAATCCTTAGGATGGCTGGAGAATCCTGAAGCATCCTCAGGATTCCTCACGACTCCTCAGGATCCTAAGATACCCAGAAGGAATCCGGAGGAATCTTCGAAAATGTTGAGGAAGCCCGAGGAATCTGGAAGAACCCTGGGGAATCTCGAAGGGTCCCGATGAATCCTTAGCAATCCATAGGAATCCTTCGGAATCCTCTGGGGTTCCCAAGAATCCCTAGGAATCCTGATGAATCCTTGGGGGCCCTTAGGAATCCATGGGAACCCTAAGAAATCCGCAGGAATCCATAGGACTCCGCCGGAATCCTTAGGGACCCTCTGGCATCTGTAAGAATCCTGAAAATGTTTGCTGATGCTCAGGCATTCGGAATCCTTAGGTCTCCCCTGGGAATCCAGTGGTAACCATCCGAATCCTTACGGATCCTGGAAAAAACATTGAACTTGGATTGGAATCCTAAGGGGTCCTCAGGAATCCGAAAGAACCCTTAGGAATCCGGTGGAGTCCTTAGGAGTCCTCCGGATTCCTTGGGAAACATTGGGAATCCATAGGAATTCACCGGAATCCTTCGAATCCCCCAGGGATCCTTCAGGAATTCATAGAGACCCTGAGGAGGCCCTGGGAATCCTTAGGAATACCGAGGAATCCTCACGAACCTTTAGAAATCCCCAAAAAACTGCTGAATCCATAGGAATCCATCGGAATCCATAGGAATCCATCGGAACTCACAAGAATTCTGGGGAATCCTGAGGAAACCATCAGGATAAATAGGAATCCGGATGAATCCCCGGAACACCTTATCTGCAGGAACCCTTGAGAATCCTCACGGAAAATTCAGATATTGTCGGAATCCCAAGGAAGCCATAGGAACGCATAGGAATCAGCAGGCATCCATAGGAACCGATAGGAACCCTTAGGAATCCCAAGGAAACCCTGAGAACCCATACTAACACATAGGGATTACTCGGAATCCCTGGGGATCCCTACGAATACTGAAGAATCCTGAAAATCCCGAAGACTCCCTAGGACGCCTTAGAAATCCTTCCAGACCCATAGGAATCCCGATGAGGAACCCCTCGGAATCCTCTGAAATCATTCAGAGTCCTCAGGAATCCCTAGGAGTTCGTCGGAATCCTTCGGAACCCCTTCGGAATCCCTACGAACCCTTTCGGAATCCCGAAGGGATCCATCGGGAATCATCTGGAGCATGTTTAGGAGTCTTGAGGAACACATAGCTACCGCAAAGAATTTCAAAGAATCCTTCGGACTTCTGAATCCTTGGAATCCTCAGGAATCCTCAGGGATGCTTAGGACTCACCAGGAACCCATGGGAATCCGCAAGAATACCTAGGAATCCTTCGGGATCCTTCGGGTATCTGATGAATCCTAAGAAATCCTCCGGAAATCCAAAGGAACCCTTAGGAACCCGAAGGAATCCTTAGGAATCCTTAGGGTCAAGGATCCGAGCGACTCCTTCGGAATCTGCTGGAATTCTTTGGAATCCTTCGGAAACCTTCAGAACCCTTAGGAATCCCTGGGGATATTTCGGAATCCGTAGGAATGTTTAAGAATCCTCAACAATCTCTCGGAACCCTTAGGCATCCTGAATCCCTCGGAATCCTTCGGAATCATTCAGAATCCGCAGGAACCCTTAGGAATCCGTAGGTATGCTTCGGGACCCTTAGGAATTTCTAGGAATCCTCTGAAACACATAGGAGCCTTTAGGAATAGTTAGACTGCCCTCGGAATCCTTTGGCTTCCATGGGAATCCCTCGGAATCTCTAGGAAGCCTGAAGAACCTTCAGGGCCCCATCGGAATCCTTCAGAATCCTTTGGAAGCCTGAAACCGAAAGAACCCTCAGGATTCCTCACGACTCCTCAGGCTCCTAAGATACCCAAAAGAATCAGTAGGAATCTTTGAAAATGTTGAAGAAACCCGAGGAATCTGGAGGAACCCTTCGGAATCTCGAAAGGTCCCGATGAATCCTTAGTAATCCATAGGAATCCTTCGGAATCCTTAGGAAGCCCCAGAAGCCCTAAGAAGCCTGCTGAATCCGCAGGGGCCCTCAAGAATCAGTAGGAACCCTGACGAATCCGCTGGAAACCATAGGAACCCGCCGGAATCTTTAGGGACCCTCAGGCATCCGTAGGAATCCTTAAAAGTTGTTGCAAATACTGAGGAACCCATCGGAATCCTGAGGATTCATTCCTTCGGAATCCCCAGGTCTCCCGTGAAATCCATTGGTAATCGTCCGAATCCTTAGGGATCCTGCAGAACCATCAAAATTCGCTCGGGGTCCTATGGAATCCTTAGGAATCCGTCAGGAATCCTTCGGAATCCTTAGGAATCCATCGGATTCCCTAGGAAGCCTTGGGAATCCATTGCAATTCCTCGGAATCCTTCGGAATCCCCCGGGGATCCTTAAGGAATTCATAAGGGACCTTAGAAGGCCCTAGGCATCCTTAGGAATACCGAGGAATCCTCACGAACCTTCAGGAGTCCCCAGGAATCAATAGAATCCATAGGAATCCATCGGAATACATCGGAATCCATCGGAACCCACAAGAATATCTGGGATTCCTGAGGAAACCATCGGGATCAATAGGAATCCGGATGAATCCCTCGGAAACCTTATCCGCTGGAATCTCTGAGAATCCTGCAGAAAACTGAAAAATCCGTCGGAATCCCAAGGAATCATCAGGCATCATAGGAACGCACCGGAATCATCAGGCATCCATAGGAAAACGTTTGAAACTCACAGGAACCATGAGGAATCCAAGAAAACCCTGGAAGCCATAGGAATTCACCGGAATCCTTGGGAATCCCTGGGAATCCTTAGGAATCGTTAGGAGAATCCTGAGAATCCCTGGACCCCCTAAAACTCTTTAGGACTCCTTACCCCTAGGAATCTCGATGAACCTCTAGGAATCCTTCGGAACCCATCGAAACCCTTCAGGGTCCGAATGAATCGCCAGGAAACCCTCGGAATCCATAGGAGTCCTTGGAAACCGTACAAGCCCCTGTGAGTCCATTGGAATCCCTAGGAAATCAAAGGAAGCCCTCAGAATCTTTAGGGATCTTGAGGAACCCATAAGACCCTGAGGAATCAACAGAAACCCCGAGGAACCCGTAGGATTCCTGAACAACACATCGAACCCTGATGATCACATAGGAATCCATTGGGATCTTTAGGAGCCCTTAGCAATCCCTAGGAATCAATAGGAATCCTTCGGGATCTTTTGGAACCCGTAGGAATACATTGGGATCCTTCGGGGTCCAAAATAGCCTGGCGAAGGACCCAACCATATGCAGTTGTGAATACCGCAATTGTGAATACCGTCTTCGCCCGCGCTCCCTGTGGCCACGGCTTCCCGCTGGAGCCCGACATGCTCAGGAACACGTTCGTGGCCGTCTTCGCGGGCACCGGCGACGACAAGGACGGCGCCCCTCTGACCGAGGAGCAGAAGCAGGAGAGGGCTTTGAGAGCCATGAGGGAGGAGGTGTCGGTGCACGTCGAGAAGGCGCAGTTGCTGAAGCAGCACAACTATGGGGCCACGATGCTCGTGAGGGGTGTGCCGAAATGGCCCGGGACCGCCATGGGAACCCTGCCACTGGGGGCCTTCGGTGTAGCTCCCTATGTGGCCACGATCCTCGTGAGAGGTGTGCCGAAATGGCCCGAGGCCGCCGTGCGAACCCTGCCACTGGGGACCTTCGGTGGAGCTCCCTATGGGGCCACGATCCTCGTGAGGGGTGTGCCGAGATGGCTCGAGGCCGCCATGCGAACCCTGCCACTGGCGCATTCGGTGAAGCTCTTTATGTGGCCACGATCCTCGCGAGGGTGTGCCGAAATGGCCCGGGGCCGCCATGCGCACTTTGCTACTGGCGCCTTCGGTGGAGCTCCCTATGGGGCCACGATCCTCGTGAGGGGTGTGCCGAAATGGCCCAAGACCGCCATGCGCATTTTGCTACTGGCGCCTCCTCCTCCTCCTTCTCCTCCTCCTCCTCCTCCTCCTCCTCCTCCTCCTCCTCCTCCTCCTCCTCCCTCCTCCTCCTCCTCCCCTCCCCCCCCCCTCCTCCTCCTCCTCCTCCTCCTCCTCCTCCTCCTCCTCCTCCTCCTCCTCCTCCTCCTCTCCCTCCTCTTCCTCCTCCTCCTCTCTCCTCCTCCTCCTCCTCCTCCTCCTCCTCCTCCTCTCCTCCCTCCTCCTCCTCCTACTCCTCCTCCTCCTCCTCTCCTCCTCCTCCTCCTCCTCCTCCTCCTCCTCTCCCTCCTCCTCCCTCCTCCTCCTCCCTCCTCCTCCTCCTCCTCCTCCTCCTCCTCCTCCTCCTCCTCCTCCTCCTCCTCCTCCTCCTCCTCCCCTTGAGCATCCTGTTCAGCCTCCTCCCACGTCCTCACCCTCCCACTCCTCATCCTCGAGAGCGCCGCCGTCAGCCCATGACCGCGGTCCGATCGCGCGACCGAGGCCAGCTGGAGCACCACGCCGACAGGAACAGCACCAGCTCCATCTGCCGCTTCGCCTGGCCGCGGCTCGTTCTGCCATCGTGCCCCTCCTGCTGCAGCTCGTCGCCCCTCAGTCTCGCATCAGTCCTCGCATCATCTCGTCCTCCTCCTCCTCCTCCTCCTCCTCCTCCTCATCCTCCTCCTCCTCCTCCTCCTCCTCCTCCTCCTCCTCCTCCTCCTCCTCCTCCTCCTATTCCTCCTCCTCCTCGGCATCCTCCTCGCCCTCGTCATTCAGACGGCTTCGCAAGGGCGAGGAGAAGGCCCCCTATCCTCCCCATCCTCTACTTCCACCACATCCTCATCCTCGTCCTCCTCGTCGTTCCCCCTCCTCCTGCTCGTCCTCCTCCTCCGCCTCCTCCTCCTCCTCCTCCTCATCATCATCATCATCATCATCATCATCATCATCATCATCATCATCATCATCATCATCATCATCATCATCATCATCATCATCATCATCATCATCATCATCATCATCATCATCATCATCATCATCATCATCTCATCATCATCATCATCATCATCATCTCATCCTCATCATCATAATCATCATCATCTGCATCATCATCACATCATCATCATCATCATCACCATCACCATCATCATCATCATCATCATCATCAGCATCATCATCATCATCATCATCATCATCATCATCATCATCATCATCATCATCATCATCATCATCATCATCATCATCATCATCATCATCATCATCATCATCATCATCATCATCATCATCATCATCATCATCATCATCATCATCATCATCATCATCATCATCATCATCATCATCATCATCATCATCATTATCCTCCTCCTCCTCCTCCTCCTCGTCATCCTCCTTCTCCGCCTCCTCCTCCTCCTCCTGATCCTCCTCCTGCTCCTCGTTCTTCCCTGGGTGGCCCAGGTAAGGCGCTCGCGCGCGCGCCACCCTGGCAGCGGCCGCCCCCACACAACCTTCCGCGGGGCGCATGCCGCCCCGATGGAGCTCGCGGGCCCGGCGGCGGCGGCGGCACGACAGCCGCAGGGCTCCTGCGTCGGACTCTGTTCAGCCCACTGCGCGCCAACACGCACAGCAGATTGCTCGAAATCGTGCACGAGCTCAGCCGCAGGGACGTCAGCGCGCTCGTCGGCCCCCAGCTCAAGAGCCGAGGCGAGGTGGCGGAGGACACCAGGACGACTGGCGAGTTCGCAACGATCGAGGCGGGACACTCGTTCGGCCAGTTCACCACCAAGAGTTGCGGTGTCG